AAATAGATGCACTTTATTTTGCTTGAAAATCTCAACCCCTATTCACTGCCATTATAAAGCTGCGACATTTTTAAAATACGACTCCGATAGTATTTGTCTGAAAGAAGAAAGTCATATACACCTATAGGATGGTGTGAGGGTGAGTAAACCATAGGGTAATCTTAATTTTTGGGTGAACTATCCCTTTAACGCTAACGTAATAAAAGTATAATTGGGAACCAACCCCAATGGGATCAAAAAGGTATCTTCGAATCAAATAAAATGCTACTGGAAATCTGAAATTCCCATTTGAATTTCAGTGCATCTATAGAATGTGATTTTAGAGGACTCCACTTTGAGCCCTTTAGTTTTATAAATTATGACAGGAATTCCATTGGCAATTAAACTGTGCTGAAATGCTGAATTAATGTAATGGTATGCATACTGTACCAGAGGCAATGTTTCCTTTAAGTATAGTGATATGATCACCACGGTCATAGCGGGAATGCTCGTGGTGAAAGCCGAGGGCATGAAGGATCTCGTGGCAGATGTTCCCAACTTTACATTTTGGCCCAATCAGAAGAGGCTGCTCACCCCCCTTACATCCGACGTAAGACGCACACCTTTAGGAAACAGCAAACTAGATTAGACGACAATAGATGGAACATTTTTCAGACTTCTTCCAAGATGGAAATATACAGTGAAAGTGTCCTGACAAAGACAATGAATTAAACTCCCTATAAATGAGGTTTGTTTTTTTTCTAGTCAAACTAAAATCTGTGACTCACCCATTTCCCAATTCAAAGTGCAAAAAGTCAGTTTCATTAGTATGTGGACGGAATCTGACGCAGGTCTTCTTGGAGATCATATTAAAGGCATTAAGAATGTCCTTAGTCCTGCCCTCTGAAGACCATTTACAGAAACAAACAAATTCTCTGAATATCAATGCATCTTCACCTGTTATTACTTAAACACACATCATACAGAGCCAACCATTGAAATTGTGACTATACTGCTAGAGCACACTATAGGGTAATATCTGCAGAAAACATACCACCAAACATGCAGAAACTCACCAATAACAGAATCAATTTCATAAGGCACTGACAAACTTCCATCCAACTTGGCCCATAGCTCACTCACTGCATTCCTATCGGTCTTAAAAAAAA